GACCAAGATAGCATCATGACCGCGCTGAGTGGGTGGGCGGTGGGGACCAATGAAATCCATCGAGATAGACTGCCAACGACCTTCAGGTATGGGTAGGGGCTGAAGTAACCCATACGGAAGGTGGTTCGCACTGTTCACCTCCTGGCAGGTAGGACACTCCTGGATGTAGGCTTTGACATAGTCCTTGGACTTCGGCCCAAACGTATAGGCGGCAAACACGAGCCAACGTCTTGTGGAAACCCATATGACCGGCAACTGCCTGGTCATGGAACTCTGCTACAGCCTGGACGAGGAGCTGTCCGGTGGAGGGAACGCAGATACGTGGTTTTAGCTGACCAGATCTGCCATGCCAGTACACGAAGCCGTTCTCCCCGAGGGAGTAGGAAGGAACGGTCTTGCCACTCCGCAGTGTCGCGTGGATGACGCGATAATCGGGGCAGTGGCGGTACTGAGTGCGATACGCGTCGATCACCGACTGATCAACACTGGTGATGGAGATGGCAGCAAGATGGATGGTTCCTGATTGTGATCAGGACGGCGGGACAAGGCATCGGCGACGCGGTTCGTTTCACCCTTGATGGGTTGAGTGGTGAAACTGAACTCGGATAAGTCACGCCACCAGCGTGCCTGTCGAGGGGAAAGCTTAGGCTTCGTGAGGAAAGCCTTGACAACTGAGTTGTCCGTGCGCACCATGAAGGGCGCCCCGTGAAGATAATGACGCCAATGCCGGGTAGCATAAACTACTGCGAGAACCTCACGTTCATCGGCAGTGTAGTTTATCTCGGCAGGTAGTAGCTGACGGGAGTAGAAATCGATCGGGCAATCCCCAACACGAGCCTCGACAGTCCCATCCTCCGCAATGGTCGGGGAGTAAGTAATGGGAGTACTGTCAGTGGAGGGAAGTGGTGGTAGGATAGGCGTCAGTCGAGAAGTAGTGTCAGCAGGAGGGGGGGGAAAAGGAGGAACATGGGGGTAAGGTGAATCTGGAGGAGAGGGAGACACCTGAGAAAGGACAGCTCCTACTGCAAAATCTGACGCATCGGTGGTGACGATAAAGGGACGATCAAAATCGGGAAGGCGAAGAACTGGCGCGCAAGTCACCGCCTTCTTGAGGGCGCGGAAGGCGTCCTCGCAGAGGGGTGTCCAAAACCACGGCGGGTTCTTCCGGAGGAGGGTGGAGGTAAGGACGTAGGAATACCTAGCGTATCCCTGGATAAAATTA